GGGGGGGAGTTGGGGGGAGAACTTCCTGTGACACGACAGCAGCTCAGGCAGGAAATTAAAAACAAAACTTTAGAGAAAAGAAACGAGAAAAAAAGACAGAAATGTTTCCAACCTGACACAGGTGAAAACTTTTTAATAAACTTTACTGACGTCTCTGAGACGTGAATGTTGTTTTGGACAGAAATGGATGCTAAAAAAAAATTACACAAAAAAAAAAAACCAACTCCTAGCACAGTTTGTAGAGGCTCAACCTCTGGTCGGAGGCCCCGGTCAGAGGCCCGGAGTGAGATCAGGACAGTCAGTCAGTCTGAGTGAACACTGGAGACCTGCAGTACTCCCAGTTACAACTAGGGGGGGTTAGAAGAAGGTAAAAAATGACAGACTGATTGTTGGAGCAGGAAGAATACTTGGAGTACTGCACAGAGACGGACTGGAGCTGAAAATACTTCAATATGGATACTGCTACACTACAAATGTACTGTAGTTCCTTCAGAAGTGATGGAGGAGCAGGAGGAGGAGCAGGAGGAGGAGCAGGAGGAGCAGGACAGATGGACCTGGACCAGAGAGAAAAACGTCGGCCACGCACCAACACGCTCTCTTTGGTCTTGTAATGGGAGAAGTCTGACATGAGGGGGAGACGGGGGGGGGGGGGGGGGAGTCGTTGTCAGAGTGATGGAGTACGAGAAACAAACCTGAGCTGAAGTTCCCGTTGCTGACAGAGGGGTCGCTGTTGTTGACCATGAACACAGAGGTGTTGGTGGACGCTGCTGTTGTTGTTGTTGTTGTTGTTGTTGTCTGACTGGTCATGGTGTTGGGTGGGGGGGTTGAAGACAGAGAGGAGGGGGGTGAAGAGGATACGTTTGTCATAGAGGACGAGGACGAGGAGGAGGAGGAGGAGGAGGAGGAAGAGGAGGAGGAGGAGGAAGAAGCGCTGTGTGCCAACGTGGACGAGGTCCGTTTAGTCCAAGCGGCCTTGGACAGCAGCCCCAGCGGTTGCCCCCCCGCCCCCAGCACAGTGAGGACCGAGGAGAAGGCTGCCTCCTCTCTTTGGCCGTCTCCCCCTGCACTCGTCCTCCGTCCCCCCAGCAAGACGGCTGTGTCCCGGTCTGGCATGTACTCCCTCCGTCCGTCCCCCTCCTCCACCCCCCCTCCCGGGCACCTGTTCCAGCCAAAGTCCCAGTCTCCGCCGCCTTCACTCCCGCTGCTGTCTCACTCCAAACTGCCGTCCCGGCCTCGGAGAACACTCTCCCCCCGGACCACCCTCTAGGGCGGGGTCCGTCCCCGTCCCCGTCCTCGTCTGTGACTCCTCTGTCTCCAGCCTGAGTGGAGTCTGAGAGGTTGGACGGAGCTGTGAGGTCCAGAGGCGACACAGACCTCCTCACCGAGCCATCAGCTGCAGGAAACAAGACAGGCATGA